ATAGACACAATAAAAAAATCACATGGTGTTCAGGATGTTTATCAAAAAATATAAATGTTACTTTTCCTTCAAGATTGAAATGGTTTTGTGATATCTTTTAATTTCAATCTAAGGCCTGTTTCAAACGTCGACTTTACATACACCAGCGCTTTTAAAAAAATGGGAGTTTCCTCATTATCTTTTGTTTTAAATGCGTTCGGTTCATAAAAACATGTTTTCTAAAACTTTAATTTGAGAAAATGATAAGATTCCGTGTAAAAAATGTAATTGTAATGATATCTCACCTTGTGAATCATGCTTTACGTACATATATACATTATACGGGGTGTTCCCAAAAAGGAAACAAATACAGGATGTATCAAAAAACAGTATTATAAAATTCAACTTATTCTGAAAATTTAATTCTTTATCTGATCACTAAATTCTGGGAGACTAATGATGTACATGAAAATCGTTTGATTTAGATTTGGAATCCTGCAAACCATTCAAATCAGCAAATGAATTTCAATTATATTTATACAATTGTTGTATATAGGTGCTGCGTATAGTAATGGCGATTGGTTCATTAGTAGTCACATGACTTGAAATAAATGCACAATTTCCTGCCAGTAAAACAAGTGAAAAGGTGTTGCGCTCATTTAATATCATAACGAATAAAAGAGCCACTAAACCGAAAACTGAAAAACGTTTCTCGAGCTTATTAAGCGACGAAAAATAAAAGATTAAGAAAAAACTCGGAAAACAACCGTGCTGTGGTCACCTTTAGCATTTTGCAACGAAATTTTCACCAATTCATCCAAAGACACTATAATTTAATTGAAGTTATTGTGGACAAATGTAAATTTAAGACCATATATAGATCAACACATATATTGTAACAATTTGTAACAATTGATTTATTGAATTGTCGAAATTTATGATTTTTCCGTATATAACAAAACTTAATGTACTCTCCTCGGGAAATAGTGAGCCTAATTTCCCGAAGTCCCAATAGGTTTGGTGTAGTGGACAAATGTGAAAATTATTTAAGACACTATATATAGATCAACATATATTGTAAAATTTTGTAAAAACATATTTATACAACGATTATTTCCTACATTAACATACTAATATAATAAAACTATGTTAATATGTGTTAAAAACAAAGTTCAACAAAACACTGCGCAAAAAGAAAGTTCTCTCTAAATAATTTTTATAAGTGCTAAATGAATGAATCCCAACCAGTCTTTAAAATGCAACAGCAATTGTTCTGTTTAGATAAAATGTGGGTATTTTTCAACTTACCTTTACAAGATGACGGTTACCAACAAATAATGTTGCTGAATGTGAGTGAAAGTTATTATACAACTATTGAATGCTAATTTTAAAATTTGTATTTTTGAATTCAAGATAAGACACCTCCTTTTCTAAAGCACAAGTGAATCTTCACATGGCAGTTGGCAAATTACTATTAGTCTAAAAAATGGTGTTGAGTTATGTAGGATTCATTTATTTAGCATTTAAAATTTAAAAAGCAAAAAGAAAATCTAGAAACGTAAAGAAAAAGTGCAGTAATGAAAAGTCTGCATACAGTCAAGCTACTCGTAAACGGACATCCAGAGACCACGACCTAATGTCTGCTTACGGTAGATGTCCGTTTAGGATGTTATAAAAGATATTATTCACTATACGTAGATATGTACAACAAAATGAAATAAATTTAATGATCTAAAATTGTTCACTACATAAAAATAAAACAATGGATTTAAAAATATGACATCTTGAAAAAGAGAGATGTTGAAATTTTTCCAATTTTTTCATTCTCATAACTTGATGTAGTTCTTACATGGTACTTTTTGTTGTGAATGATTTGTTGACCATTTATATGAACTAAACTGATCACTTTCATTCTACAACCATCCATAGTTGACGTTTGCTTTGAATTTTTATGACTTGTTGCTGTTAAGATCTTAATTCATATCACAAATGTTATAGTATCATTCAAGTACATAAATATATTAGAGCATGCACAAAGGCAATCAACTGTTATAATATTCACGATGACAGTGTGTTTGTATCAAGAAGCTTCAATTATAGATGCAACAAAAAATCCCTTTAGCATCTTCAATAGCCACAATGTAAATCAAATTCTTTTCATTCACTCTCATGATTACTTCTGCGTTATGTTCACATCAAAACGTCCACATGAGATGATAATTTTCACTTCAGTTTTATAAAAGTGAACAAAGTGAACAGCCAGCTTCACCATTTTAAAAATGTAAAAGTTCATATCATTCTATTTTGACAACAGATCACTTTTCAATGAAAACGTGACCTGGGTAACGTTACAGAATACAACAATAAATTCAAAAAGAACCATTGTACATAAATTTGTCATTTCTTTCATTACGTCACTTCCTGAAATAAAGCTTCTCCTTCTTGTATTATCGTTTGAATTAAGAGTAGACGATGGAATTTTATAAGAAAGCCATAAACATAAAACTTTGGCAAAGTAGCAGTATGTCACTGATGTTTGAGTTGATGTTGTTAAAAATAATTCCATAAAGTATCGATTCACAAAGTAAAGTGTTCAAACTTTAACAATGCTTGATATCGATTTTTCATTAAAAGTTAAACTTGTCATTAAACATCCTTCCATATGCAACATTGTCGTTTGTTTTCTGTCTCTCTATATTGCAAACTTTCTTTGACTTTTGTTAACTTTTCCTGTTCATACGGTTTTGGAGTGTTCAGTCACAATGGTTAAATTGTTTATCACGATGATGAACGTCAATCATAAGTCATTTTCTTGTAGAGTTTACGATTTACTTTTAACAGTCAGTGAGAGAAAAGCCAAATTTTTAGTTTTCTTGAAAAAATTAGCAAAGGTACCATTGTTTTATTATAAATTTACGTTTTCAAATTGATAAAGATGAAAATATATATATAAAAGTAACAATTGGGCTGTCTTTGTCTCTCTTAACAACTTAACACATAGATATTTTGTATATCAAAATGCAATAATTAAAAGTATTAAGAAATTATTTCAGTGCAAGATAGTATTGATTTAATTAGTAACATTATCTTGTTTGTAAAAAATGTATGAAATAAACGTGCAAGATTATTAAAACCAATATTCATGAACATTCATTAGCATAAATATATCTTCATTTATTGATTTAGTATAAGTTTCTGGTGTAGAGTATCGAAAACGTGCAATATTAAAACCATCCTACAAGAATACATTTTCATGAAAATTATATGTTTTACATGGTGTAGATATAAATATAACTATGGTGCAACAACTAACAATAGTTTGTACAATTTTAATATGATTTTGTTGTGATAAGATAAAAGTCAATAAAATTATTTTCTTGTGCAAGGAATATTATTATCTTAGACGCGAAATCATTTGTGTTATGGTTTGTCTTTGTCATTGAATTTTCATCTTTAATTAACTTCAGCTTTTAAACATGATCTCTCTCAACGTTGACATTATCGTACACTGCAGTCTCTGTACAGAACAATGCAATTGGACAAAGGTCGTTTCATGAAATCATACGCAAACAGACATTATTTGAAATATCAACAATGATAGGGATCATGCATAAAAACTGAACAAGATTTTCTTAAAGATAATATAGCCATTATCCAAAATGGTGAGAAACTTTATCATCAAAGATCAAATTTACTCTCGCGGCAAGATGATTTTTACGCATTGTACCGGACCTTTAAGGAAGAAAAATTAAAGCAAGTTTGCGTTTACGACAGTAATAAAAGTTCTTGGAAATATCTCATACGCGGAGAAATAATTTACAATCTTAAAATATTTCAAATCAATCAAATCTAAGTCACTAATTATATACCTATCATCAACAAAGAAAACTTTGACTCAAAAATACCCTCAGTATAACTATAAATAATTTGTATGTTTTAACGTCAAATACTTTCACATACTCACGCATGTAAATTATTAATTATCTGCTGAAGGTGAAAAAGCAGCGTAAGTTATAAAGGAGAACTATCACGCACGTAATTTCAATGTCTTCATCTGTCTATTTCTTTGGCGATTTCCTCCTTAATTACGTCATCCCAACCATTAACAAGTTTGTCTTCATGCCACATACAGTAAATTATCTGATCCTCAAATTCAACTTTAGCAAACACGTGATACTTAGAGCTACATGCAAATACGTGCACATTTCGATAATTTTCAAAATTCACTGATATTTCTTTTCGCTTGTTTTCAACATTGAAAAACACAAAAGAATCAGTTTTTTGACAAGCAAATGATACATCACTCACCTCAAAAATTTTGTTTGTACCTTTTAGTTCATCGAAACTATAAACAATTTTTGTCAAATCATTATTCCAAAGCTCAGGAATATTTTTTGCCGTAAGCAAAATAACTCCATTTTCTACAGCAACCATGTCACGAACAAAACGTTCCTTGACAACAAAGTCAAATGTGTTGAGATTGTATATAATTACACTTGAATTTTCTTCATTGCTCCGATACAGAAATTTTTCATTTGAGCAAAATTTCCCGTTATAAAAACTGTAACTGTTAGTTAAACATGCACGCGGTATTGAATAAAGATAACAGTCAAGTCCGTATTAAAACAAAAGAGAACATTGTTATTCAAAATAAAATATACATTTCAGCTCCCTTAAAAGAAAAGCTAGATCTGTCGTAATCGAAAGGATCAAGAGGATACGGCGAAAATTGCAGATCAGATTTAAGTCAGGAAGTTTCTCACCAGTGGGATTTACAATGAAATGTTTATCCTAGAAAAGGATGCCAACAACAACACCAAGAATGAAGACCAACAGTGAACAAAACACAAATACACTTAAAAAACCAGACGGTAAATGATCGTCGTAAACGAATGTTTCATAATTATTCGCTACATCAAATATTTGAACCTATTTCTTTCTCAATAACACACAAATATCTTCCAGAATTAGAAAACACAGTGAGGTCACATTATTACATCTAATACTGCGTTTCTTCTCACCTTTCTCAACGTCCCATACTGTCAAAGTATCTTTGTAACTAGTGACCATTGTGTACTTATCCTTAGAAAAACATTTGTTGGTAAAGAACTTAGAAGTAGAATCATCACAATGGAACGGACTGGAGGAAATTTTACCATTAATATCTAGTATCTTATCAAGCTGAGAAGCAAAATCAAATCTTCGAATGGATGAAAGACAACGCAAAATTCTTTCTCTTCATATTGCTTAAGCTGACCAGCAATATTTTTTATCCATAAACATCTGTTTGTTCTCAATGAAAAAAGTTGCACGATGAATCCTATATAACCACAGACGACGTAATCATGATTTCGTGAAACATCAACAGAAATCAAATTTAAATATAAACGTAATAATCGAGCTTTACAAAACCCGTGTCTCTGCACTCTAGAATGGTGAATCTTTGAAACGTGTTTGAAGCATTGTGGTGGCTTGAGACGACAGATCTTTGACTTCGTTGGCAACGTTTTGCAAAAACCTACTTCATTGTCAAAGAGCATAGAGTACGTCATTAGAATAAACTTCATTAAATAACAATCGAATGTCCTCAGAAATAAGAAAGTACACATCATGTGCGTTGAATAATTCAAAATTTTCAAAGTACGACGAAGTCAACCAAAATAGAAGCAACTAAAACTTCTAAGTCAACAAGATATTTACCAACATATTCAACGATATAATCATTATCAGAAATATCAAGTAAATGAAGCAACCAATACTTGACTGAATAACTCACTGACGCATTTTTGATGATGTCATAGTTTACACCTTCATCTTTGAGGTTATCCAAAGATTTTAAACAAAATTCTAAAACAAGTCGAAGACCACAAGAAGGTTTTACTGAGTAATCATGTTCTCGATCATCCAACAACCAATCATTTAAGGATTTGTGAAAAAACGAAACACATCCTTTTTCATTGCTAACAAACAGACAAGAGATAATTTTCCTAACCTTAAGTGATATGCGATGAATTCAAACAAAGAACGTCATCGATCATTTTCCAAGGAAGAGGTTCTTTAGCAACAGCAAACATTTAAAATTGACTGAAACTTTTCGTTACTGATAAAACGAATCTAATTCTTTACTTAATCTTGTTAAGCAAATTTCGTAATAATCATTGAGATCTTTTGGTATGGACGCATTCAACAAATCCTGATTTTTGACTTCGCTGCTAAGAAGTGATGCAAGCAACATAAGTCCGTCAGCTTTTTCTGCCAAACTGTTTTTAACATCAGATAGGCTGTCAGTAGAGCCAATTCTTTTTTCAATCAAAAATTTAATATCCTCTAAATTGCGATCATCGCTACAATTAATGAACAGTGGATTTAATTTTTCGAACTTATTCAAAGCAACTTCGTTAGGTCTTGTTGTAATTACAAAGAAAACAAGGCGGAAGTTTGTAAGTGATTAGCAACAAATTAGCAAGGTCATCTCTTTCTGGATAACCACATTCATCAAGAGCATCAAGCACAACTAACATTCGCTTGGGAACTTCTGAGATATTATAAAACAACTCAGTAAAAGAAGGAAAATAATCCTTCCATTCATGTTATTCAAAGGCTCAGTTGACCTGAAAGTTTTTCACAAGAAGTTGTTTGTAAGCAGGAAACTTACGACTAACTTGCATCGCTAAAGATTGAAGAAGTACATTGGCTTTATTGTAACTGTTGTTGTGTTGAAAGAAATGAACTGCAGTCAAATATTGTGGATAACGTTTACATAAAGTAGCTGCAATTACAGACTTTACCATGCCAGCAACAGCAGAAATAAATGCACGATTTTGAGAATGTCGTCTTCGAACCAAGCTAAAACTCATCAAAACCCATTCTCGTGTTCCATGCAAATATTTTTCATAATGATGCCTAATTTCACTTTCAAAGTTACAACTTACAAGGTTTTTGTCAAAATATCTTCTTCTGAACCTAAGTGAGGGTGATGTCGTATTTCATGAACTTCGTCTTTAATTACTGTGACACTATCTTTTACCTGTTGTAAATCTTTCTCTACACCATCCAACGTTCTCTTAATACCTCTCTGTCAGTTTTAATATCAGTTAAATCGCTCTTCAATCTATCCCATTCTCTCAAAATTCTTTCATATTCTTCATTACCAAGCAACTCATTTTTCAATCTATCGATTTCATCCTGACTTATTCCTAACCTAACTAATGGTTCGCTTATTTCCCCAAAAATTTTCAAAGTCATCAGAGCTTACTGAAGTGTCAGTTAAGTGAGCAAAACGTTCATTACGAAATAACCTGATACGGGTAATATCTGCTTCAGTTGAATGATCAGTGGGGTCATTACTGACGTCCATATTGGATCACGAGGTGGTTTTAAACCACAAATATTACGCAGGAGAATACAAAGTAAAGTAATGTCAAACTTATTTTCATTTGGTAATATTGGAGGAGGAGGAGGATACAGTAGATCCCATTGATGTTGCTTTATTTGCTTATCTTTAGCGACAAAAGCTTATTATAATTTTCTGTATTTATTTAAAACATTAAATAAATCAGTACCTGACAGTTGTTTCTCAATGTTATTCTTAAAGCTTCTCCACCAACATCAACAATTAATCTCATCAACTTAAAACCATTAGTTTTTTTGTCTGCTCAGACAGACCCATGTTGCCACTGCAAAAAAAGTAGGTAAGACTCCATGGTACAAATTCATTGTGATTATAATGGAGAACCTGGGGCCAGTTACAAGAAGGCAGAATAGTTTTATCCATTAGATGGAAATTGTTTTGAACTTTACAAAATCTCTTAAAAGGGAATAATATGTGATTTGAACTGAGTAATCATTGAAATAAAATATTGCTTCAAGATTACAAAATTTCTTTCCCTAAGGAAAATATAAACACCTTTTCTACAAGTTTGAAAATTTACTATCCGACGAATAATGCTATCCAGGCTTCTTGCAACCGTCCCCAGATGTACAAGGTACATAAAATAGGTACAAGTGTGTACATGTGGGTATGACAAGTTACAGTACATGGAACAAACAGTAGTCAGTAGTCAACTGCTTAGTGTTGTATTTTTTATTAATATAAGTGAAGTCCCAAGGCCATTCCCAAGGTCAAGTCTCAAGGTCATTCCGTAATAATAACATATGAAAAATAACAAAAAATAGTTTCATGTCAAAATGCCATAAAATGAAGTCATTCCTTTCTTTGGCACTTCTCCTTGGTACAAAACGTTCTCTGTGCTCAATGTTTAATAAAAATGCCCGGTAGTTATCATTATCTTTCCTTTTTCTTGCTCTCCTACGCTCAGTGCATGTTATGTGTGCTGGTGTTTACGTGCTAATATCGTGCAAAGGAAGCTTACAAGAAAAAATATAATTGCCATGTCCATAAATTTCAATGATAAAACGATAAGTTCTTCGCCATTTTGAATCAAAATGATTTATTAAATGAATATTATATCTTATTTGTCAAACAATGGTGTGGTGAAAAGATATATTAAATCGGTTTGTTGTGTTGTACGAATATTTGCTTATTGATAAGACTATGTTGCCGATAATTCTGTTCCAATTCAAATTTTTATTTTTATTTTTAAAATGAGGAGGTATTGCAAATGGTACATATATCATTGCTGATGTAGTTATTTTTCATAGGGCCATAATATATTTAAATTTTAGTCATTTTGACGATCTGTTAAATCCAAATCGTCGTCATTACTAATTGGTAAATTGAAAGAAACTATATCCTGTCTGCTACATTTTATACCAAAAACAGAACACAGGGTGAGATAAACAACGTTATATATACAGATAAAATACCTTGTTATTGAATAAAATAATTTTAAAATTATAAATACATAGAAGCAAAATCAAAATGCACCAAATTCCATAATTGCTTATGATCAATGAGACACTGTAGATACAACAGTAAAGGAGTTGCAAAGGCGAAAACTGTTAAACAAACATGATCAAAGTATAGTTTTAGAAGTTCACTTGTGTTCAGATCAACATTTCTAAAAATAGATTCGGTGCGTTCTTTTTCCCTTTATAAATACATTCTTCTGGTTTAACATTTGCTCATTTTACAAATGTTCTTAGCACTAAAATGAATGGTTTGTATCAATACAATTAACAACATTTTGTTAGACACACAACTAGATTAATTAAAGTGGCGTCGGAGAGAAAAGGGAGGTGATGCATGATTACAAATGCTATCCATAAATTTTCACAGATTCCCATTTTTTTATAGAGGAAGTATGCTGTTTACCTCTCCACCTTTAAACAGGTTTGCTTTACCATGCAGCTTATTGTCAATAGTTAGAAAATTGGTATATCAAGTTAAGATATGATTTCTCATGCATGTTTAGTCATGCTTTATCGAAATGCTGCTTTATCTAATTTGTTATGTCAGTAATGTAGGATTCTAAATATTGCTTCATTTTCAAAATTTCTAATACGTTTTGAAATACAAGACGACCGTGAGAACAAAGGGCTATGCTTGCTTTAGTTCTTTACATGTCACATACTCAACAAACGGATAAAGGTTTAAAATAAACGCGACCACAAACATATCAGTTAAAATGGTGATCATAGTTCATGCCTTATTGTAACATTAGTTTTTTATCAATGTAGTTTTGTTACATAAACACTAAATTACAGAACAGAAAATGAAGTTAGTCAAGATCTCCTAGCTGTGACAATTATAATAAAACATTAATGACATCTATGTAGAACATTCTAGTTATATAACTAAGTATACATCACTATTCAAAACAATTGTCATAGAAATAAAATAAAATAAGAACCTCATGCAGAGTACATGACATCGAGATTAGTCAAATTCCAAAGGACTAATGCTAAATCTTATAAAGTTTCACAAGTTTTACTCAGGAATAGAGAATCTTATCTAAGACAGGATTTGAATGCCAATGATTAAGACATGATTTTCAGGAAAACTGTGAATGGATTTTCCTTCATTAATCCAAAATTCCATACATGTATATTCTTGCATAAGTCAGTTCATATCATAAAACCTTTGTTATTGAATGAACCATCGTAAATTATGAATACTTGTGGCAAACATCAACTTTTAACAAATGTATTTACGTATGATCAATAAAGAACTTTCTTAGATACAACAGTAAAGGTTGCAATGAAAGTAAACCTTAAAACTGTTAAACAAACATGATCAAAGTATAATTTTAGAAGTTCACTTTGTTGCATGAATCAACATTTCACAAATTAGATTCAGTTTAGATTTCTTTCCTTTAAATACATTTTCCTATGTTTAACATTTGCTCATTTACAAATGTTTTACTTTAAAATGAATGGTTTATTCAATACAATTAACAAAACATTTTGTTTAGACACACAGCGATTAGTCCGTGGCGTCGGCAAAAAGGGAGGTGATGCATGATTGGACATACATCCCCCCCTTAAATTTTCAGAGTTCCCATTTTTCCATTAGACAAAATTATGCTATTCCCTTCTCCCATACCTTTGAACAGGTTTGCTTTCCTTTTACCATGCAGCTTATTCCTCTATAATTAGAAAGATTGGTATATCAATTAGATATGGTTTCTCATGCATGTTTAGTCATACTTTATCGAGAGATGCTGCTTTAAAGCTAATTTGTTATGTCGATAATGTATTTTACAAAATATCCTTAATTTTCTAAAATTACTCGTTTTAAGTAAGACTACCGTGTGAACAAAATTATGCTTGCTTGATTCCTATTTTGCATCACATACTCAATAAACGGATGAAGATTTAATTATAAACAAAACTGACCACATACATATCAGTTAAAAGTAGTGATGAAATTATTCATACCTTATTGTTTGTATCAATCTTTTTATCATACTAAGTTTTGTTACATAAACACATTAAAATAACGAGCGAAGATGAAATGAGTCAAGATCTGCTTCAAAAAACAGTATTATGAAACATTAATGACATCTATGTCACAATTATGAGCACAGAATAAAATATACAGAAGAGTCACTTATGTCGGAACCCTCTGATGTTTTGTCCTCGCGCATATGTCATGGTATAAGGAATTTAAGTAGGTCCACTTCCTGTGCAACTGGCTGCTGTATATTTTAATTAGATTACTGGCTGCCGTTAGCCATTTCATCATTCCTATTCGTTAAAAAGCAATTGACTGGCTGCCACTATATGGTAATCACATGCGTAATAAGATATATGTGGCACGAAAAACTTCAATAAAAATTGGCTCTACTGTATATTCTTCTATGGTGTGTCTATGCAGAACATCTCAAATATATAACTAAGTATACATCACTGACTTAAAACAATTGCCATAGAATAAAAATGCATAAATAAGTACCCAGCATACAAGAGTGCATGATAACATGAGACTAGTCAGAGTTCCAAAGGACTCGTCTTTAATCGTAGTAAAGTTTCACAAGTTTTATGGGAGTTGAGAATTAACTATCTATGACAGGATTTGAATGCTAGACGGATGAAAATGGCCATTTTATACATAACTTTTAAAGTCATTATATTATTACTTGCTCTACGGAAACAGCAACATCTCAAATATTTTCAAAACATTTTCCAAATGAATTAAAAAGCTAAGGACCAGTGTTGATTTACATGTAGAAAGGATTATCAAGGCTAGGAGAAGCAGAATGTGATTAATATACGATAGATCCCGATCTATTGTGCTTAGAAACAAAAGAGGGACAAAAATTTCGTTAAATATAACCAATTTACACATTGATCAGTAGCCAATATGTTAGGATACTACGAATAAAAGTTATTGCAGTTACAATGCAGTGTTATTCCCAATGGTTATTGAATTTGTTTACTTTTTGAATACTTAATGAGCTTCTCGTATTTGACAATTCCAATAACTTATCGACAACAAAAACTTATTTGGTTTACAACAGATGGAGTGCCTCTCCTTATTTGACTAGAAATTATGGATACAAAAATATCAGTTGTTTTCCCCCATAATATATCTAACCTGTATGCTTTCCTATTAATAATTCGCATTATATTGGACGTGACGATATTTGAACCTTAATTAACTTGTGAGTAAGTCTACATTTTACTATGGACTAATGATAAAAATGTTCTATTTATGTTCTAATTTACTCTGTCTATTCATTAACAGGGCGTAACAAACTTGTTGATGAGGAAGGGAGGTTCAAATTTATATGAATGCATCTTAATCTAAAGAAAAAATGGTTTCGAAAAGAATTTGAATTCTA